AAAATACTCCAAACTGATTTGATTGTGGCTACTTCAAATACATATTAAATCAAAATAGTAAAAATATGTATCATACGAGGGTAATTCAAAATTTTCCAAAAGAAAAAAAAATCGAATAGCAGGCCATGACTTCGTATCTGAACATAACTTTTTATTCTAAGCAACTTTTCTCTTCAACATATTTCTATATTTTTTGTAATAAGGGTACTTTACTCTTGAATAAACTTTTTATTTTTTTGGCCTATCCTGTATGGTGTTTGTCATAACAAGGTACACTTGGTATAGTTTTGGAACATGCACTAACTTTTGTCAAAATAAAATTTTCTGAGAAATCGATAATAAAAAAGTTTCTCATTTGTTGCACACTTAGTGGACCACACTGTATATCATAATCGAATAGGGAAGAACATTCGCCGGAATTCCATCGAAGTCTGTAGCATTATTCTCGCTACATCTAGAGCGGCAGCGAACATGGTACATTCGAGCGATCTTAGCTACGTCACGATTGGTTTATGGCTACCAGTGGCGGCCGGAGTTAATTTCTTTAGGGCATGATTTACAACAATACAAAAAATATATAACTTCTACCAAAAGAAAATACCTTGTAGATGTTGGAGAAACCAAGGAAACGTAAAGGAAGATATCAGAAGAAAAGAAAAGGTTGTATCAATTTTTTTTCCGTTTTTATGAGTCTACTCCAAACTGTAATATCTCAGTAGTACTCATTCAATTTAATCGAAATAAGTACCGTGACTTTCGAATTAATTATACTTGTACACAAGTTTAGTAATTCCAAACAGGCATGATAACAAACTATTCAATAAAAACAATTTGTATTATCGATTTACAGTGGATTCTTCACTTTTCAAATGATGTATATGAGACATCAACATCGAACCTTCAAGACAGAAAAAAGGTTCAGAAAAATATTAAAAATTTTTGTCAAACCTCATTGTATACATTAAAAAAATTAGTTTGACTCTGGCTCTTGGGCATTTGGTACGTAAATGGTAAAAGGTAAAGATAAACCAGTGAATATTGAAGATGAAGTAAAAAAGTATTTATTTAATATTCTGTTGTCCTGTATGTAAATTTCAAACCTTCTGTTTTTTCGCCGACTTGAACAATTGGTCCTAAAAAAATCTGTGTTGAAGAGCTGATTTTGAAAAATTTGAAGCTATGCCTTATTTTTGTTTTGAGAACTATCGCTACTCCGTCACTTTATTTAGCGATTTGAAAATGAGTGTCATTGTTGACTTTTTGCTTCTACAACCAGGAATTTTATCGGGAACCGAGTCATGCCAGTCTTGCAGCCTGCCGTCTCAACTGCTGCCGAAATTTTAGCTGGTTTGTCAATATTTTCAGATGATTGGCATGTGCTTGCGATTTTTTTAATTTTCTATCTAGCCTTCAGGAAAAAACCTTCATTCTCAAGAGAGCTATTTGTTGTTTGTCTCAACTGCAAGCGATTCGAGATAAATAACTAATGGCCCAATATATAAAGATCCTATGACTTTCTCCAAGTACTTTTGGTATTTTTTTGTGAATGGTGTGTATTGCATATTAGTATTATTTTGGTGTTGTGGTAGGAACTTCAAGCCTTCCAGTAAGCAAGTTGTCAGTCGCCCGTCATCCTCTGCCACTCCCAACCTTCGTGAGTTTATTTTTTTATTTATTTTTAGTTTGTAGTTTTTCGCTTCCTGAATTGATCTTCCCGTCTTTTGCCAGTTGTATTACTCGACGTTTCTCTTTGAAAGAAAAACCACCTGATTCAAAGGATTTCTATTTAATGTTTGAAGTAAATTAGTATAAGTCTTGACATACAAGAATATTTATGTCTGATTTAATGTTGAGCACAAGGTTATAGTTATACGATGTATTTTAGTTAAAAAGTATAGTAAGTATAGTTAGATTTTTATTATTACTTGATGGCGGCCTTTAATTAGCATGTTTGAATGTACCATTGAGCACTGGTATAAATAACTATAACCTATGGAGGAAAGACAATAACATTTTTGAAGAATTATGTATTTGAATTTACATTCATACAAATTAACACTCGATATTATTGAGTTACTATGAAACAAGTGCTCAAAAACTACAGTAACTTTCTTGTGGAAATTGTGTTGATGAAATTGTATGATTTAACAAACCTGTTATTTACATTTATCATTGCATAGTAATAGGGGAGCCCAAGCGGGGATTTCGGGATTTACTAAAGCACGGCAGATTAATATACAGGGGGATACCTTGTACCCGGTTAAGTACCTCCACCAAATATGAACCCCATATATAAGGCCGCCTGTGAGGGATAAAGGATCAGATTGCTAAAAAAAAATTGATAATCAGAAATTCTCGAGCGCGTCAGATTAACGTAGGGTGAGTTAATTACATGCTAAAAGGTGTATATTCCAGTAATCTGACAATTTGAGAGTGACGTAAAGAAAGGGGAGGGCAGCAAAGTTGTAAAAAAATAACGTCATTTCGACATTCTCGAGCGTAGCTAATTTTTTTTTTATTTTGAAGGAAATAATTCAAGGATAACGAAAAATATATAATCTGACGATTTCCGCAAGCCAAAATAACAAAAATTCATCGATAAAGTTTAATGCGTGCAGCTGTGTGATACCTTTATTTCCCTCTCCGAGTTTCTATTCCTCTATTCTCTATTCACTTTTTTCTATCTATTACTCTCTCACTCCGTCCCCACTTTTAATTCTGTTGCCATGAAAAAGGTATATATTATATAACATTTTTTTCTTCTTATCATCTAAGCTTTGCAATTTAATAAGTCTCAATGACGCTCGAGTAAATCCCCATTTTGCATCGTGGGCGCCCCTGCTAAAGCTTCTTGAAAGATAATAATACAAATTTGCTACAAAGAAACAAATATTATTTGTTGAGTCGTTGTGAGTAAAGGTAATAAACTGAAAATGATTCAAATTTTTTCACGAATATTGATGACAATTATGTTATGCTTTTTTATAGAAATGTCGAGGAATACATAGTCCTTAACTCAACTAATTTGTGAGGCTACTGCTACCAAAATTGATTGAAAATTATACATTTCTGAGTACAGAAAATGAATTGAGGATGAAATAAATTGAGTCAAATGTCGCATTGGAAACTAACCGGATAATTATTATGTAAAAAAATTACTTGAAATTGAAAATTGGACAGGCATTTTAAGTATTTTCTGTGATACACGTATTGTAAATATGAAAATACTTATGAAATAATCCTCAGAACGTTTTCCAAAAGTAGTTTTACCAATGTACATGTTTTAGAAAATACTAGCTTGTTTTGAATTTCTAAGTAGTTTACATCAGTGTTAAAAGTAATTAGTTCCTTTCACTTTTCAAATAATAATCTAACACTTTTTTCCATTCGGAACAGCAGCTAGTAGTACTTTTAATTCAAGTTGCGGGAATTTTTCGTCTTCTACTACAGGTAAAAGGTGTTTTAAAAATTAAGAAATTCGCAAAGTAGCTTGATGTATAATAGGAATACAAGGATTGCCATTTTTTGTGTATTGTGACTGTGTTTGTCTTTGGAAAAAACTTGCACGGTAATTAAACAAATATGAAAATAAAATAACATTTAAATTGATTTTTGGTGGTTAGAATTTAGTTGCAAAAGTGACTTTTGAAGCACTTTAATCGTTTTTCAGAAGCAGCCACATGTGGGCATTAGTGGTCACTTTATTTGAATTACAAATCCGAGTTCATAACTGCTTTTATCATTCAAAGAGCATTTCCGTCGGTTTCACATTAAATTAGATAGTATTATCCGCTAAGTTATATTGAGTTGAGACTCTTAGAAAAATCATTTATATTCGAAAAGGGTGTTTCACACACATTGAAAGTTTATTGGCATTCTTTTAATAATTTACTTCCCTTGTTGAAGAAATAATTGAACGGATTGTTCCAATGAAATTTCCAATGAAAGTTGATGTACTGTCCAAATTTTGAACTTTACTCTTAATCACATCTTGAACCACAATACCCAAAAGGCAACCTTCACTACAAGAGCTGTTTTTTTATGTTGTTCATGCAATATTTTGACCTTTCTTTCCTATAATTAGCGGTGTCTACTACAAATGTGCTGTCGCCTAATACTCAAAAAATCCAGGAGCCTATGTTCATCTCTGTACCTCCGAGACCTCAGCGAGTTCTACATTCGGAAGCATATATCAAGTAAGTCTTTTTGTTTTTTGTTATGAAATGAATATAATTAGGCAAGATGAAAAAAATGTAAAAGGATTATATGAGCATGGTAGAAGAAGTGAGACTGAGAAAGAGGATATGGAGTGAATTCCTTCACACTTTAAGTTTATGAATGTTGTCTAGAACTTTAAGTGTAAATTGTATCATCGGTTAGGTTAGGTTAAATATACTTTGAAGTGTGTTGAATGATGAATTGAATTGCATTCGAAATTTAAAAAGTATTGATTATCTTAAATTCTCATTAGTGAATGTGAATGTAATGTTTTTAAAATATTCGCATTTGAATTTTTAAAGTTTTCAAGGATTCGAGAAGTACCAGGAGTTTACTTTGAAGGGAATTAGTAAAATGTATAATAAAAAAGGTATTAAAATAAATATCTCAACTGTATTTTATTTAATTTAAGACC